AGGGAGGAAGAGAAGAGATTAATGAACGTTACATACGGCAAATGTAGATACAATTGCCATAGGACAACCATACTCCACACTAAGCCACTGGACGATTAATCTAGTTCAAGCGAGTCGTTACTGACATAAACTTCGTCCATGGCATCAATCTCACATCAACAGTCACGCACAGACAAGAACTCGAAACTATCGTCTATGTTAGATTTACAAGACGAGAGAAAGGGAAACAAAAACCCAGTAACTCTAGTTGCTTAACTGGATACAGAGAAGCATGCCGGAACATTATAATTACTCAAAACTCATGCTAAAGAGATTTAACTACATGAAGAACTCAGGGGGGTGTCAAACATTACGGACTGTTCCTTGACAGGAATGAAACCCCGCACGAAGTGTAAGGGCACATATCGTGAATTCCTGAGTTCCAACGATAATAAATAATCGAATGGAATTTACACTCACCAAGAACTTGGGGGCAAGACTATGATCATAGGATCAGACACATCTCTTCTACCTCAAGAATCAAGTATTGATTTCACTACCATGTTACCAATGGAGTGAAACAGCGTACTTTTTCCCTGCGAAATGGCGATACCACTATCGATAGATAAGGAGAACTTCTCCATTCGCGATTACCTGCACTATCAGCGACAACTGCAAGATCACTCTCAAGAAAGATTCATTGTATACCACATACGACACAAGCAGACTTAAGGAGATGTGCCAGAGTCGAACAAGTTAAATAAGGAAGAGCAATGAACTGCCTCAATGGGCCCCTTTTTTTCACCAAAGGCTTCGCCCAGTCGAGGATACTTGGGTAGAGTTGCAATGGACTGACGGTCGAAGTAGACTTCGTCCCGACGCTAAAAATCATATTATACTAGGGCTACCCTACTCCAAGGGTCCAATACCAATCACTCTTAAGAAGGAGGTGAACGTCTCTGCGAGGCAGGAGTACTCAAGAAGGTGAATCGTTAAGAGTGGGCGGCACCAAACCTTTTTATCAATCCAAGAAAAGAGGAATCGTACGATTCATCTCTATTTCCGGGAACCGAACAAAAGGATAAAGCAGGAAGCCTATCCAATCCCAAAATACAAGACATCTCTTGAACCAGATGGATCAAGTGCGCTACAGTCTAGACCTGAACAACGGCGACACACACCACATCAGCTGTCACCTCACTCGAGGACAACACTGTACCATTGCCCTCCCGAGGGGAAAGCACAAGTAACCCGAGGTTGCCAATGGCCTACGTAATAGTCCCGACATTCATTCCAAAGGAAGATGAAAACAGGCATGCATGGACTTATAGAAAATGTCCGTGCATACATTGATGATCAACTCATCCTAACTGACGTCGATCTAGGCAGATCGCGTTGAATAGTTAAGATGACCTTTTCCAAAGAATTCAAGAAGTCGGGTTTAAAATCAACACTTCCAAGGCCTATCCTCAAAGGAAGAACTGAAGTATCTAGACAATTGGATCAACTCGAGAAGGAATCCAACCCTAACTAAAAAGATAAATAGATGGATCCAACTATCCTCTTCCTACCAATACGAAAGGAACTCGTGGATTCATTGGACCAGATGAACTACCAAGGGCTGCTCCAAGACAGCAAGACGGAGTACCATCGTTCGAAACAGACGTGGTTTACCCAGTATCCATGACCGGTTGTCAGAGACAGAGACGGAGTCCCTCGCAGAGGTCGAGAAGACATCTACGGGATGAACAGTGGACTTCGCGCAAGTTCACTGCGCGTGTCAAACGTGACAAGATAACCACATCACGTTTCAAAGTAAACCGGAATACATTAAGGACGTCGCCAACGACTTAATCCAGAAAACAACCGATAAGGAAGAAACACGAGACACGTGTCCCTCATCAACAACCATGTCAAACGATACTATGAAGAATCATCAGTATAGAACCTTTAGTACGGTAGCCAAAGGTCCTTACCACACAGACGAGAGTCATAACAATGAGCACTGTACGGCTCCGACATACTACCGCCAGTGGCGGCACAGTCCTACCAGACTTGGACATAAGGTATTTACACCCTATACAAGGCCTGATCCCTTGTAGGATTGCCATCGTGCGACGCACATGTCTACATTCAAATCTCCGGAGAGTGCCCGCACTTTAATTCATATGTTCTCTTTGTCCGACTGATGTCGTGCCTTCCGTGACCCTTGTCATGGGGCGAATGCAATACACGGCTCTAGCCTTATTCCGCCTCGATCCTAGATAGGGTTTTGAGTCGACTCATGACTGAGTCTCTCGTGAATAGTCATTTGAGACAGGGTTCTCAATGACCGCTCTAGTATACGGTTATGTTTGATGATGAAACATCGCTTAGATATTTAGCCAGCGTGGAGTACTTCCACGCTACTAGATAAATGCTAGACGAATCTTTCCACGCGTTCCGTTTTTGGATCGTGGAGTGAGTAGGATTGCTACCGCAACCTACTCTATCACACTCTACAGTCTCCCGCGGGAGTTCAGATCTACGATCCTTTGATTGTGGATCTCTCTCGTTGATTAGTTTTCATAGCTTTCTAATCCTCTCATAACTTTCATTCTCTCAAACTAAAAACACTCGAAAGATCTTTACACTAGCTTTTAGCGTAGTGCACCTGGGTTGCTTCCTCTTCGGACTGGTTGGCCTTGTTGGCGGTTCCGTCGGGCTTTCCGTTCTTGTTGTCACGGGGCTGGAACTTGTAGATTGCCTTTTCGCCAGGTTGGCGTTTGATTTGGCAGCAGCCTCCACGCATCTTCATGAGCGTGGCCTTGTCGTCATGTCCGGGGGCACGGTTGCGGCAAGTGAAGCTGTTGTGGTTGAGGTCCCATTGGAGGCCATGGGAGAAGCAGTACGACATAAAGGTGCCGCAGTCTCCTTTGACGAGAAATGGGTTGATGTGGTGGTTCTTGGGTGGTACTTTGTTGTTGTTGTTGTTGTTGTTGTTGTTGTTGTTGTTGTTGCTGTTGGCATTGTTGGCTTGGTGTTGATCATGGAAGCCTGCTTGTTTGGTGGTAATGGAGCGAAGGCGTTCCGTGTTGGCTTTGGCAAAGTGGGCTTGGAAGTTGGGCCATGTCTGGTCGTCTTCGAGTTTGTTGCGCCAGTCCTTGAGGGCAAGGGTGAAGACTCGTCCACTGTTTTCCAAGTTGCGTTCGGCGGAGCGGACGCATGCTCTGGTGCTGATGGGGTCATGGTCCCTGGCGAAGGAACGGGCGTCGTCGATTTGATGGAAGAGTTGCTCAATGGGCTGGGTTGGTGTCCATTTGGCGTCCATGCGGTCTAGGTTTTTGTTGAGGTCGTCATTGGTGAGTTTGCCATATTGTTCATTGAGGTGGACGATGAGGTCGATGTAGCTGAGGGTGGAGTATCCTTCATCAGGGTCGCGGAGCGACTTGTAGTACACCTCTTCGATGGCTTCCATGGTCTTGCGTAGGAGTGCTTTTTCAGTGGATTGGAAGAGCTGGAATTCGCTTAGGTCATACTTGTGGGCGGAGACCATGCGGGTGATTTGTGGTCCGGTGGCTCCATCGGGGACGTCGGGGCGTGTTCCTGGATGGACGGGATCTTCCCATGGTGTGGCAGCTACCTGGGGGTGTGCATTGAAGCGTGCGAGTGTGTAGCAGAGGCGGAGGTGGCCTTCAGTGCCGGTGCCGCGTAGGCTGTGGATTTGGCGGGCATTGTCTTTGTTTTCGTTTTCAAGGAGCTTGATGCTGCTGCGGGTTGGACGTCCAGTGATGCTGGTGAGGGTGGTGTGGATGAAGTCGTGTGTAGGGTCGTACTTTAGGGTGGCCATGGTGATGGTGTGGTGGAGTGAGATGTGGATCGAACGGGTTGATTAGCGAATTCGGTCGGTGATCGGTGGGTTGTAATATTGCTTTCTAACTATTGAAGTCAGTAGCTCTTTAGAAGGTTTTAATCGGAGGTTAGAAACAATTATGAGCTATTGGCTTTGGTGGTTTCTGTCCCCAAACGGCAGTTGGCATTGGTAAATGCCGTTAGGGGATAGGCTGGATCTACATCTATGTAACGGTCCCGCGAGCCTGGCAGGGATGCAGGCTTGCTCGTGGGACGTGCTTCTGGTGGACTTAAGGGTCAAATGTCGCAGTGGGACTGGGACTTTAATAAAGCGAAGCATTTTAATTAGGCCGATCCACGACCATTATCGCGAATACCGGTAAGCCAGAACATCCGGTGCGTCGAATCCCCGGTTGGATAAAAGAAGAAAAAAAAGAGGGGGGGGAGGTCAGACCCCCAGTCATGCATGGCTTTTCGTCCTCTATATCTCGGACCTCCACCCTTTAAATCTAGACACCTCTTTGCCTTCCGTGAAAATGGGTCCGATTGACTTTATCTCTACTATTTATCTCATTGTTCGTTATGGGAATCAAATTTTCTTGAGTCTTGACACCGTGTTTGAAAGTTTGCGCGCGAAAACCCTACCCCTGAATATGTTTTGACCGCCTTTTCTCCGGAGAGGAGGAATCGAAATCCCTCACAATGACAACCAATGATGTGTGCTCCGGCCGCTACTGTTGTTTGCTAGTAATACTGCAGCTTATTGGGGAGTAATTTGGTTTTAGATTAAGCTGAAAAGCAAAAGTGAGGATTTTCTGGTGGTGCATAGCAATTCTTGTGATTGAATTGGATATAAGGACCCCCGTAACACTTTAGACCTAAAACTCCCTTGGTTCCTTGCATGATGAATTTACATGCGAACCGGACTAGATGATTAATACACGAGTCAATAGTAAAGAGGTGTCAGGTATGTTTCCTCCAACACACTCCTGCACGGTGCCCTAAGTGGCTACCGTGGAACGAATAAAATAAATTAGGCAATCAAACAAGGGGTGGATGCCCCATGATGAAAGCCCTGTGCTCATGGAAGAGCTTCCCCTGAAGGGGCTTCGTGAAAAAATCTCCACGCATCTCCAAGGTTGGGCAGTACACCACTCTGAGGTTGCCTTTGCCAATCTGATCGTGAATGAAAAAGAAACGAATGTTGATGGCCCGAGTCCTCTTTCCTGAACTGCCTTTGCCATTCTCTGCAAGAATGATCGTGCTTTTGTTGTCCTGCATGAGGATGTTGTCCTTCACAACTATCCCCTGCTCTTCAAGGAACAACTTTGCCCACAGCATGGGCGACATGACATCGTCAGCTCCAATCAATTCCGCTTCCGAAAGAGAACATCACGCCCTTCCCTACCACTTCTTCAGAGAAGCCATTGCTGCAGGGACCATCTCGTCTTCATCATCTACCGGGAGCAATCAACCTCCGCAGACCCCCCCCCCCCCCCCCCCACCCCTACTGACGAAAACACTGGGGTACTCCCAGATATGGCCCATCTGAAGGCAGTTCTGTTCTGGCAGGAGACACAGCATGATCTCCTAGTACACCACCCATGGACACATCACATGTCGGGGGACGATGATGCGAAATCCACCCCCCCCCCCCCCCCTCCGTTGAATTCCCATGTGGTAGCGAAGCAGCTGTGCTGGTTTAGCCAGGTGGAAAATCGCTGTGACATCTGTATACTCCAAACAGTAGGGTCACAGGCAGCCATCTGGCAATACAGAAATAGCTGAGGAGCTCTATATACCCAAGGGTATGATGCAGTTCTTCAGCCAAGACCAATATAGAAATTAGCTTGCCAGCACCAGCCAAAGTAGATATGCAAGAGAGCCAAAAGCTGCATGGCTGAGTGCTGCGAGGATTTTGTGTTCTAGTTGATTTTAGCATAGTTTAAAGAAGAAGAAGTAATGGAAAGATAGTGACCATGATACAGCCTCATAGCACTAGTTTCCCCACAGTTGAAGCCTTCCTGTGTGATTGTGCCAAAGTCAAAGAGTAAGTTGTTCAACATTGCTGTGGAGATTGAAATACAGTGGCAACCAGCTTGTGGCTGGCCCATTCCCACGGTCAAGAGGAGTGAGGTTCCAAGCAGAGCTCTCCACTCCAACAGCTCCTTGTGCATCTAACCCTGACTGAATTCTTCATCGGGCAGACTCTCACTACTGACACTCGTGTCAGTAAGCCCAATCATCTGATATAGGGACAAGTTGGTCACAAGACCTCAAGTTTTGTCAACGGCACAGGACAAGTTGATCCTACACATTGATGACATACGCATCATCAATTTGTGGGTGTGATGCATCATTTTCAGTCCATCCTGATTACCGTCTCCCATACAGGAGGAGTCATGTCCTTTGGAAGATGGAGCAGGTGCTGTCTGTGTCGCGAAACAGAAATTGAATTCAAGGAGCAGCA